ACTGTAGATCAATCAATATACGCTGGTTGAAGAACCCCTCTCTCTCTCTCTCTCTCTCTCCTCCCCTTCCTCCACCTCCACGGCCTTGCCTCGGTTCGTTCCTCTTTCTCCGACCTTTTACCCTCCGTCCTCCCCCTCCGGCTGCCCCTAACGAGCTCATCGCTCGTCCAGCCAAAGAAAAAACACGAGAAAGTGGTACAAAATGGCCCTTGAGAAATGCCGTCCGTCCATCCGTCCATCCATCCGTCCGTTCGTCCGTTCGTTCGTTTGTCCAGTCGTTGTTGGTTCGTTTCACCAGGTCCGTTGCAAGGGTGGTGGATGAGATCGAGGCTAGGGCGTTGCCACGAAACGCGCGGANNNGGAATGCGCGTACGAATAAAGGGGGAGGGGAGGAGAAGGAGGAGGAGGAGGCCGTGATATAAACGGCCATTTCGGTGAACGAAAAAAAGAGAAAAACGCGTTTCTTCCGTTCTCCTTTCCTCCTCGATCCATTCCCCTCTCCCCCTCCTCCTCCTCTCTCTCTCTCTCCTCCCTCCGTCCCACCCGTCGTATCAAAGTCTGCTCGTTAATTATTCCGCTGGTCTATCATTAAGAATTCCGCAGATACGACGAGTATCTTATAACGCTATATGAGTACGATCTCGCGATCGTAGGCGTTACCAATTGTAAAGGCACCTGTCTCGTGGCCTTGGATAACGCGATGCGCATATTTTCGCAGTCGTTATCGGTCATTTTTGAATAATAAGGAAAAAAAAAAAAGGAAAAAAAATGAAAAAATGATTGATCAGCGCGCAATTCAAAGTTTCCATTGTCCAACGCGTTGGCATCGAATTATTATAATCGTGGAAATTTGGCATCGATTGGAACGAACGAAAAAAGAAAGAAAGAAAGAAAGAAAGAAAAAAAATATTCACACTTCTAATATTCCAATATTCTCTCTCCGGCGAAACAAGCTTATTAATTGCGATTCGTAATGCGCATGATGATCAAGCGTGATGTAACAATCGTGGAAACGTGTCGATCGAGCGTGCAAAACATGTAAAATTAATTTATCACGTAGACTTTACCTTACCGAACGATCGAGACGGACACGGATAGATTTTTCGAGAAAACGTTTTCCTCTCCTCTCCTGCCGGTCATTGCTCTCTCTCTCTCTCTCTCTCTCCCTCTTTCCATCCCCTTACATACTCCTCTCCTCCTTTCGAACCGCGGGTATACACATTCGTTGGCAACGTTCCGCGGAACTGGACCGCGGGTGTAAACCGGTGGAATTTGGCAGCGGCAAATTAATTGTTGTTCACCCCTCGTTCCGATGAAATTTATCCGGACGGCACACGTAC